CGTTTGCGCTTGCCATACCGGCACCTTCGATCGACGGGCGCCAACCAACCCACCCAAAACTTCAGCGGGCTGCCCGCACCCTCGATCGAAGGCCGTCAACCAACCCACCCGAAACTTCAGCGGGCTGCCCGCACCCTCGATCGAAGGCCGCCAACCAACCCACCCGAAACTTCAGCAGGCTGCCCGCACCCTCGATCGAAGGTCGCCAACCAACCCACCCGAAACTTCAGCGGGCTCGTTTCCAAGTGCCATTCAGACCTGCCCGCCCGCCCCTCCGGGGCGCCAAAAACGAAAATCGAAAAATAGCACTTCGACCGCCGCCCACTAGACTCGAACCTCGCAGTGCTCACACTACGAAACGGAAAAAACAACAACGAAAAACAGCACTTCGATCGAAGCCTGCCAAACTCAACCCTCACACTACGAAACGGAAAAAAAACACCGTAAAACAGCACTTCGACCGCCGCCCGCCGGACTCTAACTTCGCACTACAAAACGGAAAAAAAAAAAACAAAAAAAAAAAACAAAATGGCCGTAAACAAAAAAACACGCCGCGCCCACGGCTGGCCGGGCCCATGCGGGAAAAAGGTCTCAGCGGGGCGCGTCACGCGAAACCCGCTTTTGCCTTTAAGCGTATGGAGAAAAAACAGAACCTTATGGTTCTGGCTCCTTTCCCTTCAGGGGAGCAATCAGTCCAGTTCCTATTCCACCTGTAAGCCAGAAGGTTACATGAAGAAACTCACACATGCCTCTCCCATTATGGCCGGGAGGTCTGAGTAGATGGCTCTGATTTCTTCCCATAGGAAGGATGCACCACCTCTCACCCCTGCCTAAGTTAGCCTTTCTGACTGTATGTTCTTGCCTAAACCCTAAACCCTAATGTCTTACCTCGTTCCTGAAGGTTTCATTTTTCATTTTTCCTTATTTTCCTTGTTGTCTAGAAGCATGGATGTGCTAGTATGATATGAATTTGGTTGTATGTCGATTTCGATCAACACTCACACTCAGACAATCCCATATATGCCCATACATGCATACCTTGTTGTCTAGAAGCATGGATGTGCTAGTATGATATGAATTTGGTTGTATGTCGATTTCGACCAACACTCACACTCAGACAATCCCATATATGCCCATACATGCATAAGAAGAAGGGGAGAGGAGACAGAGTACACACTGCACACAGACAGAGTAGGCCGCGGAAAACAATCATGCACAGGTGTGGAGACAACACTGAGTGTTCCTCACTCTCTGACAATACTCCCAACAACCAATCATAAGAAGACACTGCGAGGATAACAAAAGAACGTAACCAAGTCTGAGCCAATCTGAACCAATAATCGTTACGGAGTTTATCCGATTATCTCGCCACCACTGAACTCCACACTCCACTCTCACACTCACACCCTGTTAGTAGCGCTACACTAAGACTGCCTCTCTGAGGCCAGCGCCAACCACCAAGATGTAGAGCAAGACCAGCGATGAAGTCCTCAGTGCCGAAGTCGGTGCTCTGACGATGAGAGCTGCAGCTATGGCTGCAGCGCCACTGTCTCTGCTGCGCATGTCACCCTGACGAAGTAGCAGCAGCAGTAGTCCACCCACAAACTGATGTGTAGAGCCTCCTGATAGCCCAAACAATCGCAATCACCTCCAGGGGTGAGTGCTCAGAGGGCGCCCCAGCTATGGCGGACTCTGCAAGTCTGGCTAGGGCTGTCAACCCTGACGAGGGACTCAGGATGCTGCCTGAAGTCAATCGTCACTTTCCTTCCTTGGCTCCTCTCCGCATCCGCTGAAGAATGAAAGTGCCAAAAGTCCTAAACAGACCTACGACAATCTATTAATAGAACTCGACTCTACCTAGGCTAGGACTGACCGGTACCGTTTCAGTCTGGGCCTCTAGCTACCCGGCTATAGGCTATAGGACCGCTGCTACGGGCCAAGGCCACGAGGGCCTTCCGTCCTAGTGATAGTCAGGGCCTGCTATTCGCAGTGTGGGCTCTAGGGAACTTGGGTCTGCAAATTTTCCCCAAATTCACAGATATGTCCCTCATGAATTTCCCCTAGGACTGAACATGGAGTTAGTCCCTGACACAACCAAAATTACAAATCTAACCCTACCGGTTAGTGTACAGCCTCGCAGACAAAACCCAGCAGTCAAATCAGCAAGTCAGTGCAAGTATGTTGCGGTTAACAGTGGACAGTGGTGTAGCCGTTCTCCTGCACAATGATGTCCAACCCCAACATGCAGATGTGTAAAATCTCTGTTCCCATTTTCTTACTTTCACATTTCATTGCATGGCTATGTTCGTGTTTGGACCAGGGTTGGGGCTCACAGGAAATAATGGAAAATTACATGGCTACGTTGACGCACATGACTTGAGCTGTGTTATTTTTGGTAATGGTTGGCTGTGATGCAGGCACTGGAACCCGCTACTTTAATCCCTCTGCAGCTGTTGGGACCATCAAATACCCGGTGTATAATGGTAAGGTCCCTTTATACACATGCATTCTCCCGTCTGGTTCTCTGGATCGGATAGGGACTATTAACCCTAAAATTCCTAAATTCAAAAGATTTTAGATCACTAACCATCTCTGCCCATCAGTTCTTCGTGACGAGCCTCAGCCCATCATTTCTACCGAGGCACTTGGATCCTTGACCATGGTGGGTGTGATTGTGAGTTGGCTGAAGTTATGGTGAAACATGTTGCTTCCTTGGCCCTGAGTCATGGTGTGCACATTCCACCCATTTTCACCTCACGGCTGCATGTGTGCTTTTGTTGCTGCGCGTTCCTTATCGTCTTGTTTCTAGTAACTTTCTTCTGGTGTGTGCACGTTGGAAGCATTTTCAGCGTTCGGCTGTTTCTCTTTTTTTCTGTCTTTCCATGTATCGGTCCAATTTTAACAGATGTCCTGTGGAAGTATTGGCCGTGTGAGCGCACGTGTTAGGAGGATTGTATGTGCACCGGAGGGTTGGCCACTTTGGAGCATTCGACCATTTGCAGTTCTCGGTCGGTGCACATGCGTTTAAAGGACTGCATTTAATTTTGGCCGGAGGTGGTGAAATCTTGAAAAGAAAAGCAAAAGGTTAGGCCAGCGCATGGGTTGAAAGCATACTTGCGGCGCGTAGGTGAAGTGCGCTGCCCAGTACGCTGCGCGCTGTGCAGTGCGCCAATCCCAGGTGCGTGCGCGTGCAAAAAACAAAAAACGTGATGTGTGTATACATGATGGAGAGAGAGAGAGAGAGAGAGAGAGAGAGAGAGAGAGAGAGAGAGAGAGAGAGAGAGAGAGAGAGAGAGAGAGAGCACAGAGCCCTTTCACATTATTCAGACAAMCCCTGCCGGTACTTCAAAAGGTCCCTGCCAAAAATTGGCAAGGGTCCCTTCGGCAGGAATGGGGTGGTCATTGGAAGGGTCGGCACTGGACTCGTAGTAAGGAGGGAGTAGGCCAGCTACATATGGTGTAGCTTCGATTTCAGGTCCGTGTTTCAGCAGTTATGGGTTACTGACTTACTAACTCGGCATGTGATTTTGAGGGCTTCACTCCACTACTCACCAAATGTGCAAAACTAGAATGAATCTTCTCCTAGAAACTGGATCCATACAGGCCATACGTTTTTCTTTTCTGCAAGTGCTGATGAGTGGAGCCAGGCCCTTAGGGCCACTGCACGCAAGTAAGAAAAGGAAAAACTAAAAAACGAGACAGCTACTGTATGTGCAAAACAAGAATGAATCTTCTACCCATAACTCTTGGAACACAGACCTGAATCCGAATCTGGGATATATTGCTGGCCTACTCGTGGTCTTCCAGCAGTCCAATGCACATCCTTCCAAAGGTTATGAAGACCCTGCTAATTGCTTGCAGGGTACCTTTTTGAAAAGGAGAATCAAACCAATGAGCAGTACGACGAGGCCCCAAAATATTCTCTTTCTGTGTGTTTACCCTTTCTAAAAGGGAGGGACACTTATGGGTACAACGACCTACCGTTTCTGATTTTTTTTATTTTTTTTTTCTAAATGCGCTGCATCACGTGCGCAACTTGCGCGCACGTGATGTGCCGCAACTATGGTTGAAAGTCCTGGCTGTTTTGTGTTTAAGCCGGTGGCAGCAAAATCTCGGTCTGGCAAAAAAAAAAAAAAAAAAAAAAGCCTGGAGAACAGAAACCGGTGGAGACGCTTGGCGAGGTGTACACACGCACACAGACATTTGGGCAGACAGGCACGCACACATGCACACCGACGTATGCATGCAAAGGGGAAGGCAAAAGAAGAAATACAAGACAAACCACGAAAATGCTAAAGTAGGAAAGAGGTGGAGCAGCAGCACGATTGCCAGGTGAATGAGCAAAGTGCTCTTGCCCACAGTGATACGCTTGGCAGAAATTGTACCGTACTGAGCCTAACGGACCTCACTTGGGCTTACCCAAGTTGCTGGAAAATCCCTACTGGGCGGCCCGGTCGATCCTTAGCACATCACGAAATGAGGCATTAGCCTCACTTCAGGTAGACAGCTAGCCGTGGCAATAGGCATATCAGTGGACAATGGATAAGTCTCTCGGCCTCCTGCCTTGGGATCAGCTGCTGCGCTGCGCAGGGCTCTGGTCCCCTTTAAGGGATTGATTGAAGGAAGTGTTAGCGGCCAATTGCTTTGGCAAATTTGGCAGCAGGTAAAGTCTGAAAGGCCGTATGGGAGGCTGGGCCCCGATTCCGGCTTGGCCTAAACCGGGTAACAGCCCCAGCTGTAAGGAAAATGAGCAATGGCGAGATGACAATATCCAGAATGCACAATCACATTGAAAGCCAGAAAGTTTCACCATGTCCAGAAAGCAGCATTGCACCAAAATAACACCAATGGAGAATCGTAACACTGAAAACCAAATGTCAATGAGAGCTTGCTCTCGCCACCACCAATATAAGTGTCCAGGCCCTTCTCCCGAATTGGCGCTCGACGTCCATCCTACTTCCTACACAGCTACTGTCTGCCTGCTAATTGACAATGCAATTGTTGATGTCAGCAGCCAACGAAGTACTTGAAGATGTCACCCAATGCAGACCATCGCCAATACCAGGTATGTGCCCTCACATCATCATCATCATCATCATCATCATCATCATCATCATCATCATCATCCTTCTCTCTCTCCCTCGACTTACACCTACGTCTTCCCTCTGTACGCCCGAAGACCACCCCTGCGTCTCACTGTATTCCAAGCCCCAGCCAGCTATGGAGGCTGGGCTATGGCGCTGCCCTCAGCAGCGCCCTGCTTCTCGCACGACCACATGCGCACAGCACCTTGCCCTTAGTGCACAGCAGCACCCGAGCCTACGCTCCCCCAGCGCTGCCGCACAAACTGGGAAGTGCCTGAATGAGCCTCCAGGCTGCCTGCCCCAGCGGCCTGGCTGGGCTGGGCTGGGCCTGTGCCCAGAAGCTTCCGGTAGGCCCCAGGAGGCTGTGCCTCGGTTGCAGCTGCTGGGCCTCGTTCGGTTCGGCCTCCCAACTGTCTGTGTATGATGCTGTGATTCTTGCCCAGGGCCTGCATTTCATGAAAGGCCTGGAAGGCCGTGGAAAATCTTTGCTGCTCGGGCCTGGGTTCCCTCAACCAACTGGCGCGTTACAATGGCCTGGACCCGCAATACGAAATTGACAGCAATGGGCCTCGCGGAATTTGTTAGGCCCGCCTTCACTTAGGGCGGCTACATCTGTATCAAGGCCCCTCAGGCCTGCTGAGGACCCAGTTCCTCGCATTCCCTCCTCCTTTATTTCGATAGTCCTCTTAGAAGTCTTCTAATCTGCAGGCATCTTTCCCTTGAGTTCTCTTTCATAGCCTGCAATCACTTGAGGTGCTGTTCGTTGGAGATCTTCTCTAGTGAACCACTGATCTTCACTGAGATCAAGATGCTGTCTGAATATGACACGATCTTGCATCCTTGACTTGGGCGGACGGCCTCTGCCGGGCGGTTTAGGCACTGGCATCATTCGATGCTCCACAATTTCATCGATGTCGAATTCACCATCCATGGTTGGCAGCAGCATTGACTGTCTGGAGGGAAACTGTGCAGTTTCTGCGAAAGCTGCCAGCTTTAAGGCGTGAAAAACTGGGTGTGTGCGTAGGTGAGGTGGGATGCGAATCACACAGGAAGGTCCGTCTATCTGATCCTCCACTATATCTAGGACCTCCCAAGGACCAAAGTACTGTGTCATTAGCTTTCTAGAAATCCCCAATTCCTGTCCCAGTTCAGATGATTTAACCCAGACCCGTTCTCCTACCTGAAACTGAGATGGCCGTCAGTGCTTGTTCTCATATGCCACCATGGCATCTTGAGCTTTCTTAATGTGCTCTACAGCTTGTTGCAGCATCTGTTCATCCTTGACAGGGAACTCTATGCTGCCAGGTGGTGCAGATGGCTGTGTTTCTGGTAGTAGGAAGTCTTAGGGTGGTCCGAGGCAAGATGCAGTTGGTTGGGAGTCATGCCCGTTGTGATGTGCACAACATTGTTGTACAGGCTGGCGACAAGAGGCAATTTCTCGTCCCAGTTATCCTGACTTGGCTTGATGTAATGACTTAGTAGGTGCTGCACTACTCTGTTCATCCGCTCCGCCTGTCCGTTTGACTCGGGGCGATTCCTTGACATCATCTGCAGTCTAGTACCCATCTATTGGGCAGTGTTTTGTCACAGTTTGCTTGTAAAGCGAACATCCCTGTCACTGACGATAAACTTGGGCAAGCCAAAGTCCCGTACCAAGTAATCCATAAACAATTTGATGGCGAAGTCGGTTTTAGCAGTCTCCAGCATAGCGATTAGTCTTGCATACTTGGAAAAGCGGTCTACTATAACGAAGATGTGTCTCTTCCAGACCTGCTGGTCACAAGAATATCCATAAGTCCATGGACACACTCTGACCAGGACCTTCAGGAATCGGCAAGGGCTTGATAAGCCCAAGCGGAGCCTGAGTCCTAGGTTTGTCCCGTTGGCAAACTTGGCAGGTTTCAACGTACCTCTTGGCATCTTGCATCATAGAAGGCCACCAGAATCTCTGCACTAAGTTAGCTGAAGTCTTCTTATATTCGAAATGGCCAGTTGCATCATCACACTCACCTAAAAACAAACTACAAAGAGACTCTCGATCTAGGATCCATAATCTTTTATTCCCTGCCTTCTCAAGCAACAGCAAGCCATCTACCATCGTAAATTCGTTGGAAGTTACTTTATCTTTCACTTGACACTAACGAATGATTTCAGACATTACTGGATCTTGCTGATAGGCTTCCACCAAGGATCGAGTTACATCGTCTGATATATCGAACTCGGTCACTAGCGCGCCCAGATAATCTACCCTATGCAATAGTGCATCAGCCACTTTGTTATATTCTTCCCTGATTGGATCAAGTTGACAGTCATACATGTCTATCACTTGAATCCACCTTTTGAGTGCGTCAGAGAGTACAGGCTGAGTCTTGATCCAGCGCAAAGTCTAACGGTCAGAT